GGTCCTCGCTCCCGGAGAGGCTCCGTGTTGTTGCCGCCGGCTGGAAAGCGGCACCCCCGGAGCCGGAGCATCCCAGCGGAGCTGACCTCGGGGGTCCCGCAGAGCCCGAATTACATGATTTCTTCGGGAAATCACAAGGGTGAGGGGCGGCAGGGGGTTCGGTGCTGGGGCCACCTCCCCATCTCAGGGGCTGCACCGAGGAAGAGGAGGGTGAGCAGAGGGTGATGGGGGCGAGCGCTTCCACGCTGTCCCTGCAGCTAGGACGAGGCAAGGACAAGATCCCCCTCTGCGGTGCCAGCAAGGACCAGGACCTCAGAGGCCTTACTGGTTTAGTGCCTTCATACACCAGCACAGACTGGGAACTGCCCTGCAGGGCAGGAGTCGCCCGTGGAGCACCGGCCGGCACTTGGGCTGCAATGAGATGAGGTGGCTTTGTGGTTTGGTGCTTGTCAAAGATGGTTTGGGGAATTTGGGTGGTTTTTTTGTTGTTTTTTTTTTTTTTTTCCTGTGTATTTGCATACCAGGGTGACCAGGTGAATTTATTTATTTATTACATGAAAAAGAAGGGGAGGCGGGTCGAGGAGCTAAGCCCAAAAATAAAATCAAAGCAGCACAACTTACCGCAATGAACCAGAGAGAGACACCCAGCGCCGAGGTGGCGGAGGTCAGATTTCGGCCGGAGCCCACCACGTGCCCTGCTGCACGATGCCGGGAGAGCCCCCTCCTCAGACACCCGGCGGAGCGTGACCGGTGCCAGGGCTGCGCCCATCCCGCACGGGAGCGACTGCGAACCTCAGCGCCTGCTGGAAGGCGGTCGGACTTATTTAATTAAAAACAAAAATACAACAGCACAGAGTCCAAAGCATCTCCTGTCTCCTTGGCATGCGTGTGTGCGTGTTTCCCCAGCCCGGGGCGGGGGGGAGCCCCAGAAATATTTGCCGGTGGGTGATCCATACTGGGGGTTCGGTAGAGGCACGGGGAGTTTGGGGGTGTTTGCCACGCGCAGATGTTCACCCAGCAGCCCTATCTCGCCTCTCCCCTGCCGGAGCTGTTGGCTGAACGCAAAA